TCCTCTCTTTCTACTTCCTTCCACCTTTCCCAGCATTATTGTCCTTTCTGAAGAGAATTGAGTGCCCCAAAGCTACAAGATGAAAACCTGCTTCATTGTCCTTGATATCCACCAGCTGTTGGAACAATTGGTATTTACCATCCCTGTTGTTGTTGTTGTTGTTGTACTTAAGTCAGCTTTGACTCATGGTGGTCCCATGAATGGTACACTTCCAAGCCCTCATGTCTCAACCATTCTGCCCAAGTCCTGCAGACTCAGACCCATGGCCTCCTTGATTGAGACAATTCATCTAGTGTGTGGTCTTCCTCTCTTTCTACTCCCTTCCATCTTTCCTAGCATTATTATTTTCTCCAGTGAGTCCTGCCTTCTCATTCCAAAGTACAACAGCTTCAGTTTTGTCATCTTGGCTTCCAGGGAGAGTTCAGGGTTGATCTGCTCTAGGACCTGCCTATTTGTTTTTCTTGCTGTCCATGGTATCTTCAGCACTTTTCTCCAGCACATCATCTCAAAAGATTTTATTCTCTTTTTTTCTTCATTTTGTTAACTGTCCAGCTCTCATCCATACACGGTAGCAGGGAATACGACTGGTTGTACAATTATGATTTTCGTGTTTAGTTAAATAAAATAAATAATTAAAATACAAGCTACAAAACACTAATATATAAGCAAGTATATGCTTCTTAGTGCTGCCCAATATGAGGATGTTCAAGGAAAAGGGAGGACCTGACCAATTGAAAGCTACAGAACACTAATAGAAATATAAAATGTATGCTTCTTTGTCATGCCCAAAATGGAGGGCATTCCAAAAAAGAAAAAGAAAAAAAGAAGATAAAACATTTAATATAAATATAAATTCATGTCCTGCTCAAAATGTGGATGCTCAATGAAAAGGGAGGACATGACCAAACAAAAGCTGCAAAACACTAACATTAAAGTAAATTCATTCTTCTTAGTCATGCTCAAAATGGAGGGCATTTTGGAATTTTCTCCTGCACATCACTCATTAAAAAAATAAAATGCAATCAGAAGATAAAAGAATGGCCAATAGCAACTCCATCTTAAGAAACTTGCCATGAAAACCTCATGGCCTTAGAGGTCGCCACAAGTCGGAAAACAACAACAACAGAAGCAGATGTGCTGGAGAAGAGTGCTGAGGATACCGTGGACAGCCAAAAAGACAACGGATCAAGCCTGAACTCTTCCTGGAAGCCAAGATGATCAAATTGAGGCTGTTGTATTTTGGCCATCATGAGAAAGTATGACTCACTAGAAAATACAAGAATGCTGGGAAGGGTTGTGGGTAGTAGAAAGAAAGGAAGACCACCTGCCAGATGGATAGACTCAATCAGGGAGGTCGCAGGACTAAACTTGCAGGACCTAAGCAGAGCAGTGGAGGATGGGGCTCCTGGAGATGTCTCATCCACAGGATTGAAGAGATAAAGGAAATGAAGCCTCACATGCTGTTGATGGTCCGCACACTTTATTATGCTTAAAAGCCCAACACGTTTCGGCCTTGTCACAATTTGGCCTTCTTCAGGGTCTATTACCAAAGATTTCAGGAGTTGCAATCTGCACTCCTGAACTGCAATGCAGACTGCAACTCTTTGGTAATAACCCCTGAAGGACAGTTTGTGACAAGGCTGAAACGTGTTGGGCTTTTTACGATAATAAAGTTTGTGGACCATCAGTAGTATATGGGACTTCGTTTCCTTTATCTCTTCTACTGTGAATACGTGCTTTCCAGTTTTTTGTTGTTCTCATCCAAGGGTTGCCATGATTCAGGGTCGACTCAAAGGCAGTTAACAACAGGAATGGAAGCCAGGCCTGGCCCTGAGAATGCATCTATTGTTGTTAGCTGCCTTCCAGTTAACTTTGACTCATGGTGACCTGAGGTCTCCCTGATAAGAGTCTATCCATCTGGCATGCTGTATTCCTCTTTTTCGGCCACTTTCCCTAGCATTATTGTCTTTTTCATACCTTCTCATGATGTGGCCAAAGTACAACAGCATTGGTTTGATCCAAGATCAGATGGGATCAAGTGCCTTTAGTGTATTTTAGGCCCCATTCCTGTGTTACATAAGAAGAAAAACACAAGATGGTTGCAGTGTACCATAAGAGGATGACATGTTTTCATATCCTTCCTAAAGGTAACATGACCAGAAATTCAATAGATGACTGTTTGTACAACTATCTTGGCAAAGGTTTAACTTCTGGCCCTTTGCTAGTATTAAAGGCAATCTTGGTGTTTACATGTAAAGTATAGCTCTATCCACAAGGAGGAAAAAATGTTAATGTTAGAATGCAGCTTGCAGAGTTCAATAAGTAGCTTGATAGTTACCACACCAAGGAAATGTGTGTGGCCGTATTCCACTGAACAGAACATGCTTCTAGTACTGAGCATAAATTCCAACTATGAGCATGTGCCCTGAAGCATCTGTTACTTGATTTTTAGTGCATTCCTGTCCACCTGAGCTGTTCTGATACATTTGATTCAGGGTAGTGGACCTTAGAGGCAAGTATTAAAGAGACAGAGAGATATGCCTGCCCTCTATAGTTCCTCAGTAAATACACTGTATTAAATACAG